TAGATATACATATTCCTGCTTTCGTTCGAATCGTATACCATTTTTTTGTGTGGAAAAAGGGTTCGAACGACAACGAGAATATGGGTGTTAAATTTTCATTGCTAATATTTAATTTTTTAATTTATTGTTTCTTTTCAACATAGCACTTTGCTGAAATGCAGGAATCCGCGATAAAAGATGTAGAACGCACCTGACTAGTCGATTTGAAATTATTAAAAACCCTGCCAGACTCTGGAATAAGAAAGAGTTGGGATCAATAATGCGCACTTGCATTATTCTCCACAAAATGATTATTGAAGATCAGAGAGATTGTTCAACGCCATTTGATGGCAACACCTCGGCCAATACTAATCCTGTTCTATCGACGGGTGAAGTTGACTTTGGAGCATTTCTAGCACGTTTCGATAAATTTCATGATACATTTCTTCAGTCGCGTAACCTCACTTTTTACCTGTTCAACAACTTTGAAAACGTTATGTAGGGTCATTTTTACATTCAAATAAGTTTCAAATGACACAGGGTCTTCTAGTTTCACTGATTTTATCGATTGGTACCAATATTGTTTTGTTTGTTTAAGTTTTGAAAGTTGTTGAACAGGTAGATTGAGGTTAGGGCGCCGCCACTGCATTTCTTCATAACCAGCTACAAAACGACTTGACTGAACACCTTTGGAAACTGAAGGGAGATGAGCAATAATAAACGAGGCTTGTTCGTCTTATATCGTTTGAACTTACCTGTTATATTTTTCTTTAAACAATAAATTCTGAAATCTAGGCCGTCCAAACCAACAGACTTCATCATCAAGATGTTAATGTATTAGTCCTTTGAGCTAGACCTTAATGCAGGCGAGGGTGGGGATACTTAGTCCAGAGGGAGACATGGTACAATAAAAAAATGACATGAAAAAAGTGAAGTTTTACGTCATTGAAGGTAAGCTCTACACAGCAAAAAAGTTGTTGAATATTACATCGAAACTGCTGCAACCAGGTCAATCCATCGGTTGTGTAATATCACATTGTACAATGTACATCGGTTTTGCGAACAAAATTACATCCATTGATGTAATATTGTATCTGCGTTTTGCTATTACATCATTATTTCATACATCAGCTTGAATTACGTTGATCGATATTACATTTTTTTTTTTGCTGTGTAGGATCAGTTTCATGAATTGACAAATCCCGTGGTTGCCTGGGTCCATCTGCAGGTCACAACTCCGAATTAATTCTGATAAGACGGTTATGAGCGGTTTTGAAAAAACCAGGAAGCTCTAGAATCAGTTTCATGAATTTTCCAAGGATGTTCTGGATCTTCCGGTGGACCATTCCGTGGTCCCCTGGGTCCATATTCAGGTCACAACTTCGAATTCATTCTGATAAGACGTCCATGAACGGTTTAAAAGAAAACATAAAGCTCTAGAATCAGTTTCATGAATTGATCACTTTTACAGATGTTCCGGATCTTCAGGAGGGCCATACCGTGGTCTCTAGTGTCCATATTCCAGTCACAACGCCGAATTAATTCTGATAAGACGTCTAGGAGTGATTTAGAAAAATCCTCTGAGCTCTAGGATCAGATTCATGAATTGACCACTTTTACGGATGTTCCGGATCTTCCGGAGGACCATCCCGTGGTCCTCTGGGTCCATATTCAGGTCACAACTGCGAATTAATTCTGATAAGACATCTATAAGCGGTTTCGAAAAAACCGTGGAGCTCTTGGATTAGTTTCATGAATTGACCACTTTTCGGATTTTCCGGGTCTTCCGGAGGATCAGACTCGTGACTTTCCGGATGCTAAATGTTCCCAAAAGGTGGCAAATTTTCTGTATAATAACTTTTCAGAAGACACCAGGAAGTTATCTCTTCAAATTACCCTACAATAATGGCGGTAAGCTCCAACTCGGATTAACTTTTAATACCGTCCCTGTTTGTATGATCTGAAAAATGTTTGCTCAGAGTTATGTTGATTAACTCTGATGTCGACATCAAACCAGCCGGACATTCTTGATCGAGATTTAATCCGAGGATAATACCGGTTGGAGCTTACCATCATAAGAGTTTGTCCCCAATTAGCTCTAATCGCATATGCTATACGTGTATTCGTTAATGCCGGTTCCCATAGTGCGGTCCCGCTAGACGAGCTTCGAGATTCGTAGGAACCTTTTGGCGTTTCACACTTGTTTTGTTTTGTTTCTTCGAATAGCAACGTTGGATCGGGTTGGATCGGGTTGCCAAATCAGCACACCCACTGTTCACCGAAACGGTAAGTTTCTATTTCCCAACCAGTTTGGCAACTGCCGGTGCGGTGTCGTGTTATGATGGTGGTTGGTAAATTGCGTTTAACAACGCACCAGTGCGCTTAGTCTAAGTAAACACGTGATTTTGTGATCCGTAAGGGCGAACATTTTGTCCATTTTTTGCGATATCTTCACTCGTTCTTGAGATATATGGCATAGCGATGTTCCCGCATATGGACTTACGCTTACATATTGATCAGCAGCCTTGTAGCACAAACGAAGTGACAGACGACTAACTGGCGAAGAAATCCATTAAAATAATGTGGTTCACTGTAATAGAATTTTCTTGGAAGCTTGTGCCATCATCCACCAGATGGGTTAGTTTTTTTGTTTTGATTTGAACAAAGTTGATTTTGTGTACAATGATTCTTTGACAGTGTGCAAAGAGTGCGTATCATTTTGTCATTTTTTTATGCATTTCAGTTTTGAGTAGTGTGAAAGAGATAGAACCAAAACATTCTAATACATTTGGTGAAAATGCTAGTACAATCCAGTAGTAGTGTTGCCATGTGGTACATTCCAGTAGTAGTGGTGTTGCCATGTGGTACACTGAAAAATTGAAATAGCAGGTTAGTCACCAAAGTTTTCGAGCCGCTCCGTCTGTCACTTCGTTTGTGCTTGTAGTGCTATATGCCGCGTAAGTAAATATGAGAATAGGACAGAATAAGAGAGAATGGAAGAGAAAGAGAGATAGAAATCAAGAAAAACGAGAGGAAAAGGTAAACTCTCTCTAAATATATATTCAAGCGAACAACGAGCTAGAAAAGGATTTCTAGTTATGGTAGCACTAAAATGTGGTCGAATAACCTAGATACTCTCTGGGGGAGAAGGAGCGTTGACTGTATTTGAAACGTTATTATGAATACTTATCAACAATTCAGTGACCTCTTACTCCAAAGGGCCTTAGGGCTCGACACCTTAGAGAAAATAATAACAATGCGTGATGTCTAACATTTTCGTCAATCATGCACGGCGAATGAGAACGACCCAAATTTGAGTTTAGTTCACTCATAATCGCCAAAAGTGCAGGAACTCAGCGATGAGTAAATTTGCCTAATGTTTTCCCAAATTTTTCCAGGATTTTCCAGGGAAAATTCCCGAATTTGAGAAAAGTAAAGATTGGATTCACTCAGTCTATTGGTACTACTTCGAGACTGAATAAAATTTTCGTCAATTTCCTCATTTTCCGGCAAATTTTTAGGTTTTCCACAGAAAACAATGAGACAAATTTTACTCATCGCTGAGTTCCTGCACTTTTGGCGATTATTAGTGAACTAAACTCAAATTTGGGTCGTTCTCATTCGCCGTGTGCAGCTAAAAAAGACGTTTTTCTCAGTAATAAGACATATTTCAGCAAAAATAATAATAACCAATGAAAGTTAAGGGTTTTAACATGTAAGTATGTAGACAAATTTATACACACCTATTGCAATTGATCTGAAAAATAGCCTTTTTGTACAAAAGTAAGCGGTATATGGGGCATGAGCGGAGACTGGTTCATTGATGGTACTCTATGAATTTGTCTTAGAAGTCTCTGGAAGTTCTCCAAAAGGTATGATTAAATCAACTGATTAAACGGCTCGTTCTCTAGACTTTTATTTGTATGACCTTGGAGAACAGGAATGTAGAATTGCAGAAGACTTCAGAGGTCAATCCAGCATGTCGAAGTTTTCAATAAACGCCTGAGTACCGATCCAATTGTGGTTTAGAGGTCATGATAGGAAGTCTTCCTGAGCTGTGCGATTAGATCTTCGGGATATCAAAAATACATTGGGATGGCGGGTCTGATGAGTTCAAGTTATTTAAAAAAATAATTGTTCTGAATATCGTTTAGATGCCTTTAAAAAAAATTACTTGTAGACAGTCAATGGAGTTGGTCTTAAAATTTCCTCGAAGTTCTGAAGAATGGTTCATTTCTGCACGTTGACATTTGAGTAGCCTTGATTTGTATTTGATATGGTTGTACGTCGAGGGAAGACGAAAGGATCAACACTGACGCCGGATTTTATCTAGGACATTTTCAGGGTAGACCCTGAAGAGCGCTTTGAGGCTTGACGGTTCTGATGGAATTCGGCGGAGAAACATTCACAATACTTCCAAGGTTTGTTGATGTCTTGAAAGATAGCTTTAGAAACATGTTGGGAACTATTTACAGAATTTTTGGCAAAATCCAATCGTCTTTTCTTATATAAAGAAAGAAGGATTATTAATTTCCATTTAATTCCACTACCTTATTTGCTTATCCTTGACAGATTTCTGTAATGTCTTGTACTAATACTCGATTACAAGACACTGAATAAGTCTGCACATTGTAACCGAAATACGCGTATCTGTCAAGGATAAGGAAATAAGGTAGTAGAATTAAATTTAAATTACTAATCCTTATCTCTTTCTTTATACATGTATTCCAAAAATCTCTTTAATAAAGAATTAAAAAAAAAAACATGTATTCCACTAAGATGCCCACAATCATCAGGATTCGTATTTTCTTGCTCGAGGTTCTTTGGTATTGCTAACGTAGTGTGTTGTGTACTCGACAATAAGCAGATTTGTTTGGAATATAAACCATTTGAACATTTCTCTCCTATACCCAATCTGCATTGTTGGGTTTTACGGTTAATAAATTAAAAATCACAAATTAAAGATTGAAGATATGCTCGATTGATTGACGTAACATTTTAACTTTATTGTAAAAATAATATGATGAGACAGACACAACAGATCTGGCAAGAATAAAATTGAATTAATGTTGAAACATATTGATTTTGTGAAGAGAAGATTTGCCTAGAAGACTGATCGGAGAAGTTATGACAATGATTCTAGTTAAAATGCGTCAAAATTTAGTACTCGTACATCGGTATAATTACGTATTCTGGATCCACAAATGTTACTTGCTTCTTGGGTTTCAAGACGGGAACAGTAACAGTGTCCTTTACTTCTGGCACAACTTGTGTATGGCTGTCGTCAATCACTGCACTTTGGTCTGGTACTATTTCCAAAATAGATGGAACTTGACAGAAGCCGTCGTCATCTTCGGGTTGACTTGATTCTACCACTTTCATGTAGTTTGTGTAATCGATGTACTCTTCTGAATCGGCATTGACTATCACACTTGGGTCAACGGCTACCGCCTTAGTCAGAATGTGTTTCAAATATGGTTCGTCATCATATAGGGATAGGATAAAGTATTGTTCGAAGTTAAAGCCTGTTGATAAGCTCTCTCCTAGCTCAACCAGTGTGGGATACTCTCCGCTCTCTATCTCTTCAAATCTAGTAAATAACAATAAAAAAAAGAATAGGTAATAATAAACAAACCAAACATCAAAGTTAACAATACTTACCGAGGAAACAACTCCCAAAACGATTTCGCGCGGCTGCGGAAAGTTTCTGTCTGAAAAATATTCTGGTTAGACTAAGTTAGATTCTAAGCCATCGACAGACATGCCATCCATTGATGTACTAGTTTAAAGGAGTACAACCAACCGGTGGAAACTGACGATTTTAAATTGACCAAGAAGGTCCTGAAGAAACGTGCTCAACTTTTTGGATCAGCTCTGGTACTATCTTTGGTCCCAAGCTAATCGATGCACCCCTCGAAACATAGGAAAATCCACGGGGCCCTCATTTTATCTGTTGAACTTTCATATCGAATCAAAACAAACAAAGTGTAGTACTAGCGCTTCGACTCGTATGGCGTACGTTAATCGATTTGCTTGGGACCAATAGGCTAGTCAAGTAGTGAGTTAATTTAAAATCGTTAGTTTCCACCGGTTGGTAAAACGCTCGATTTTCAACTTTTTACCTAGTGGACGAATTTTAGTCAAATTAGTGTCACATGATTGATCTTTATTACGACTAAAAATGAGCAAAATTTCAAGAAGTTATGTCCATTTTATTTCAAAAAAATAAGCTTTTTCAAGAAAAAGGAATTTTTCTTCAATTGCTCTAACTTTTTGTAAATTCAATCAAATATGCGCAATACTGAGCCAATAATTGATAAATGTATGCTGAGTCAGCTGCCAAAAATTCAGAGACGTATCTTCTTAACTAGTGCTTTTAGAGCCGTTTTTCTAAAATTTAAATACAACTGTTCAATTTTGAGATACACTGTATATTCAATCTCAATTGCTTATACTTCAACCATCTACTTAGAGAATGAAAATCTTCAATCAAGTGTAAACGGCATCATCTAAATCCTTAGCTGCAATGAATAATACAGTATCATCTGCAAAAAGATTAATGTTGCAAAATCGTAAAACACGTCGCAAGACATTAATATACATAATAAATAAAAGGGCCCCTAATTAGGGCACTCCCACAGCACTGGAAACATAAACATGAAAAACAGTCCGTTGAGTTCTGTCAAACAAATAGCTTTCAAACTATGTATATGCAGTACTTGTAATTCCAAAGCGCTTGATTGATCGTAACAATAAAAGCCTACAAATTGTTGCCAAAGCGCGTTTTAGATTTTGAAAACAGGAACCTCAGCTAGCAGCAAAACTAGCTCTGGAATTAAAATTGAGGAGCTCGACTAGCTCTTTGCTTACTGAGTATAATATCGTAAATTCTGATTGGAGAACTGTTCATTCCCAAATAGTTTTCCTTAATGTGGTGTTAACACGACTATCGAACGGGTGCATTGCGTGAAAGACTTAGGCGTTTTTCTAGACTCAAAGCTGACATACGCAACAGTCTTATGTTGAGACTTCTACTTCTTCGAACTAATTATAGCTTAGGGAGCGCTATTTACGGCTTGCAGCGAGTGTTCAACCGAGTAGCGTCGATGTTCGATTTCCACTTGACACGAAATATGCTTTTTTGCTGACGCCCAACAGCTAAGTGTAAAATTTAAAACTTATACATTTTTAGTAACTTGACAATGCTTTCCTAGTTATTTTCGTTTGTAACTGTAGTATATGTAGTCTGTATAATCTGTACTTTTTTTTACGACACATCATTGGGACTATTTCTAGTATGTCTAGTCTACACATACACAGCCAGTACTTGAAAGAATCCTGGAAATGATAGAAATACATCTATCATTTTCTTGTCATTATTAATGCCTGCTGCACATCAAGGATGCGAAACAAACAATAAAGCGGCCAGGCCTACTGTGTAGGGACTATTTCTAGTCTGTTGATGCAAACATAACAAATAAACATCTGTGCGGATATGCTAGCGCTAGTGTACTAGCCTACTAGCACGATTTTCAGTTGCTCCTGAAATCTCATGCTGGTAGACGCTGATGTCCTGTTTACCTGTAAGGTTTTTTGCTAGCAGCTAGCGAATTAGCGCTAGTGAAATAGCATAAGTGTAAACACCCCATAAGCAATTAGAATAAGAAAGTTAAAGTAGATACATGACAGTTACCAGTATGCAACCTACGGATTACTCCGTTACAAACGCAACGCAAATTTTCCACATTTGAAATATCTCAACACAATAATCGCGGGAACTATCAAGCACCGATCAAACACTACATTTACTTTTTCGCAAATAACAAACCAATTTTATTACTTCCATCATAACCAAGTCTGTCCTTATTGGAGAGTTGTATAGATTTTTCTCCTTTGCTTTACTTAAATTTTTTGTTTTTATTAGTTAGGTAGGTTCCGAATCTACACGTTGTAGTTTAATTTTCATACCTGTGATAATGACATTTTTACCTACACTAATAAAAAGTCAAAGATTGATTTTATGTGCCCCATACATGAGTTTTTGCAATATAATCAACAAATTTTGACACATGAAATTCATGTGTACTTCTGAGTGGATTCTGTTTATGAGTAATCACATGAAAATCGTGTGGAATTTCACATGGAAATTCGTCAATAAAAATATGTGGTAGTGTGCTTGAAACTATTTCTACAAACGTTTCCATTTCCTCGTCGTTTTTGGAATCGAGAAACAGCTGATGATTCGTCCCGATAATTCCTGGGAATCGGGAAATACTTTTATTCAGCGAACAAATAGGTCAATCAAAATATTAAATTTATAACTTCCTGAAGTTTATTTAATCTTTACAACTTTCCACTGAAATTTTCTTTCATGATACCGGTTCTTACTGGATATGTACTTCGATGTTCGATGGGCTTTGCTCGAAAGGTTCTTCCGTTTTCTCCCGCCAGTTTATTTTTCAACATCCCTCTTCCAGAGTGTTATTGTGGTTCCATTAGCTACAGGAAAACTACAGGAACTTTCAAGAAGTTCTGAACTTCAGAAAAGTGCAGCTTTTACGGTAGGTTTGCAGATATGAAAGATTAAGTTTCGATACATTAAAAACAATTTAAATAACTTCTGTTATAACTTCTTGCTCTGTTCCAGACCCCGAGAGTTTCAGGAAAGTCCAGAGAACTTCCATAAACCTAAGGAAACATCAGACAACTTCACAAGAACTTCAGGGAAATTTAATGGTTTTCTGGACAGTTCCATTCGTTTCAGGAGAGTTCTTTAACTTTACGAAAGCTATGAGAACATCAGAACAGATCAATTAATTTCTATAAAATTGCTGAAACTTTGAAGGAATTTCCGAAAACTTAAGCAAAGTTCCAAGAGGCTAATTTCAATAAAATTGTGAAAGTATTTCAGAAGTTTCGAAATCTTCATGAAAGTACAGAGAAGAATAAAGTTTTTCCAGTAGATTCATTATAATCAAGAAAGTTTCAACTACCTCGGGGATGATCAGAAGTAAACTTCAAAACAGCCCCATTAACTTCAGGAAAATTGCAAGAAATTGAAACTTCAGGAAATGTTGTGCTAACAACATCCCCAAAAACTCTTTTTCTTCTGTGTTGCCCCTGATCTACTCCATCGTACCGTGCTTCAAAAGGTGAACCACTAGAGGTCACTACTCGCCAACGAACTGGTGTTGCATTTTTTGTAGGTCTTCCTCTGCGTTTGATAATTTTCTTCCCATATACAACCAAGCATTTACAACTACTATATGCCTGGTTAAATGATAGAAAATCCGAACGTAATATTGTTTGGTGCCTGGTTGAATCCAATATAAAGCCACCAAATATTGTTTAGAGCAAGTGGGAGTTATGGGATGTTATATTCTTGAACAATAAGTAGACGAGGAATAATTTTATACGCTTTCGGAAACCCTTTACTTCGTCTATCGGAAGCGCTCTGAAGCAAGATAAGATTATTATCCATCCATGTTACTGCGAATGCTATGTTGTCATCTGATATACGGCAGTTGAAGTTATTGTTATTGAACTTTTTCTGTTTTGGTCTATGCTTGCCATAAATTAGCTCTAACTCGAAAACTATGCCATTGAAGTGCGGTAAAAATCGGTAGAACTGTTTCAAACACACAGTTGGTACTTGAACGGGTCGGTTTTCATCTCTTTTTGCCAGTGGTGGCGGGGGGGGGGACACCCCTCACCATCCCTCTCCAAAGGGGGAGTTTGGTAAAGAGAGATGAAAAAACCGATTTTTAAAAGTTGTCCTAGTTCGCTATTCTAATATCTATATACAATCTTCACACTGCCGTACTCTAACGGAACTATCAACTCTATGCTTTCATCTACTCCATCTATCGTATAAAAATTACCACTACAGTCTGTTATTTGAAATTAGCATCTTCAACTATGTAAATCGTTGACTTCACGTAGAAGTAATACTAAAACATATAGTCAAAGTATTAAATAAAGATTAAAAAAAAAAATAATAATAATTATGCCTAAAGTTATTGTTGCCCCATGGGACGACCTCTGCCTCTTGAGTAGAAATAATTGCCAGACAATCTTTTTTGAACTTTCTTCGAAATTTAACAATTTTTAATACCTAATTGTTCTTCAAGCATTAGATTCCTATCGGCCAACCCTTGAAGCTTCTGTATAAGTATAGATTTCTTGTAAAAATAATAGAATTTTATTCTACTTTCGTTAAGGTGGCCATCTTGCCCCACTTTCCCCTAGTAATTTTCATTTAACCTTACTTGCTTGTCCTTGTCCAGTGTTTTGTACTAATACTCGACTATTAGTGCAAGACACTGAAAAAAGTTTGCGACGATATACGCGTATCTGTCAAGGATATGCAATTAAGGCAGTGAAATTATATGGAAATTACTTAACAGTCTGAATGTATGAAGAGGTCAAAAGTGGAACAATCGATTATTTGTCAAAGTCATATTCCAATCGAGCAGAAGACCTGTCAAATGGATAAGATGTCGCCGCTTTACCCAATTCTGTGTCTTTAGAAATTACTAATCCTTCTCCCTTTTTTATAACTGATTGTGTAAGCTAAAAAAATCCCTGATATGCAATCAAATTCCCTGCGATTTGCAGAAAGCCGGCGCTCTGCTGGGCCAGAAACCCTTGGCTAAACTGAAACGAAGGAAATTCTTTCAAACTCTCCTAAGGCAAATGCTCATTTCGATTCGATTAGGAATTTCATCTCATAAATCTAAGATATCACAAGCTAACGAAGATTTTTCTAGAATGATGCAAAAAATCTCGCACCGCTTATCATCACATCAGTTCATAAAACCATCAACTTACGCTTTTTTCCTCGTACGACTGATCTTGCTCCCAAATGGCATGTCCTTTGGTGGACAGTTGCTGATTGATAATACGGTCCTTTGCTTTGGTGTTGTCTACCAAAACCACATCCATGAAATTATCCTACGATTGAAATTAAAATTAGTTGATTTTATAGCATAAATCATCGCTAGATTAATTATTCCAACCTTTCTATCTACGTCAACCACATAGGCATGCAGGATCTTTTCGCTAACCAGCGAAAGCAATTCCCAGGAAGCTTCATGTGTCCACCAATGGCCGACTGGTTTCACATACGCCAAGGAAGCGCGCATGGACTGCGCCGGCGTTCTTCTGAAGCATTTTGCCAAGAACTTGACATCTTTCAACTCCATGAAACTCACCGTTCCATAGTCGATGAAGAAAACTTTTATCTTATTGTTTCTCAGATCTTCCACAATCTTAGCCCTGTGCCACATGCCGAGGAACAACGCTGCACAGTAAAATCCGACAACTACATTGGAAGGTTTTAAGCGCCACTCTTCGCCTTCAAGATATGAATAGTAGACATCCAGTTCATTCATCAGTTCGGCTATTGTTTCGGCATTTTCCTTGAAGTGGAACCACACGCGATTAGGATTGTGAACTTCGGTCACATAAATTTGCACCGATTTCTTCGGAATTACACTTTCCGGAATTGATGCGACTCTGATTGTGTCGGTTAGATTCATGGCATCTTCCGGAATTTCCACTGAGTTTATCAGCCTCAAGACATTATCCGGGATGGCCTCTTCGGATCGGGAATTTGGTGGAGACGAAATTTTTATCTTTTGCATTGAGTCCTTAACCTGCGCGAGCTTTTTGTCCTCGGTTACAACGAATTTTGGTCCTTCGTCTGAACTTTCGGATTCATTTATATCTGCCGTATCCAAGAAATCATATTCTCTATTTGAAACCTTTCGGGGAACGTCATGGTTTACTGCATCGTAAGTACTGTTTGCCGGACGATTATAGTTTGTACGATTCCGTAATCCGTTATTGTCGCCAGATTTGGCATAGAATTGACCATTACTTCTACCATAGTTGTTATTGGAAGCCCTAAGAGCAAAATTATATTCAAATGATACTATCACTGAACAGCCCACTTGGTAGTAGCTTACCGATTCGCTGGAATAACGTAGTTGTTTTTGTAAGGGCGTCTTCGTGAGTTCGTCTTACTGAGCTGGACCATATCGCGAATGTGTTGGTTGCTTTTCGTCACAACAGGTTCAACCAGTGCTGATGTGCCATAGCCTTGAACCTTGAATTAGGAATAAACAAAATGTCGTTATTATTCTCAAGGAGTTTACATGTACCAATTCTTACCGTGACGGTATCGGGCAAACTGCGCAGAAAATCATCGGCCGAACGGAATCCCAACCGCTGGTAGGGCAGATCGTAACCTTCCATCTTTTTAAAATCTTGAACCAGTCCCTTCACTGACATTCCAGCTGAGGTGCCGGAAATCGCGATCGAGCGGATTATCTGCTTGATTTCCTCCATCGTGTAGTTTGCCATCGTTAACGGAATCGGAACCTCCGTGTTGTCGTCACTAATAATAGTGTTTTATGGATTTTAGAACACTACCGCTTTTCCGTAAATAGGTAGGTACTTTACAAAAAAATAATATTTACCCGGTCGAGAAGCTTGATCCGATGAATACGATTTTGTCTTTTGTGTCGATGAATATCTGACTGCCTTGACTGCAGCGTACGAAGACTCGAAGAGGGCGAAGCAGAGAGCGAAAGGGAAACAAAATAAAAGGGCTTGTGTAAATTTTTACACTGATACAAAACATCGCAATGTTCGAATTTTTTGTCGGTATAGTCAAATGAGGCACAAAGAAAGGTGAAGCAGATCGCGAAATATGGTTGGATTAGTAATCCAAAAAAATCAACGTAAACGCAATTAGTGACATCACTAATTGCATGTATCGTACAGGAGTTTTACTCACACAACTTAACCGACTGCTTCACCTCGGTAATCCAGCTCATTGGGTATAGTCCTCTCTAGAGAGGGTCTACACCTAAGAGGAAGAGGTGACAATTGGCTTCTTCCTCTTTTATTTCTATCTCTATCTCTATCTTTATCTATCTCTATCTCTATCTTACGCACATGAAATCGGCCAATCAGGAGCTGGTTCACGTTTGACAGAAAAGTGGTTCATTGTCGCCCCCGTATTGTTACCTCTTCTCTAAGGTCTACACGCTAACTTCGGCTTTATCACCGAGTGAGTCGATCGTACTCACTTTCGTCCGATGTATCGAGTTGTCAAAAATTGAGTAAACGAGAAATGTCAAACTGAGTAAAAGTCACTCAGTCAACAAAATCCTGGACTTGGAAAAAATGTCAACCATGTTGGAGGAAACGTTCTAGAAAAAGGGCGAATGTTTCACTCAACACCGACGGAAATTCCTTGCGGTAAGTAGGAATTGCTTAGGGCAATGGTGTTGAACCATGTTCTGCTCCGGTAGAATGAATCCGGAGCAGACAATTTTCATTTCCTAGAATAAAATCAAAACAAAAAACCCCCACCCACAACTGAAAATATCGCTGATTTGGATTTGAATCAGTCTATGTGAGAACGTGGTTTACTCAAAAGTGAGTCATCAAAAGGCTACTCAATTTTGAGTAGCCCTACTTGCCGCTGAGATGAGTCCATTCGACTCAATTTTGAGTTGACCAGAATAAGCGTGCACGGTAACTCGCAGCAACTCAAAATTGAGGCAAATATGCTCATTTCAGTGGGAAGTATGGCTACTCAAAAGTGAGTAGGTGCGCTTTTACTCAATTTTGAGTAAACAACGTTCTCGCGCAGAGTGAGCCAAAACCACTCTGAGATATTTTCAGCCGGGAAGTTTGTTTTTTTTTTGTTCTGATGAAAAGTTGAAATTAGCTGCTCCAGATTTATTTAACTGGAGCTGAAGACGACTGAAAACCGTCTCAGCATGCAATTCCTGCTTACCTTAATGCATTTCGGCCTGTGTTATGCAATAATTGCGCCGTTTGCTAGATCGTTTACTCCGACACGGCTGATATTTTTTTTTCTAAGTCCCGGATTTGGCTGACTGAGTGGCTTTTACCTCGGCTTTTACTTAGTTTGACATTTCTCGTTTACTCAGATTTTGACAACCTAATGCATCAGACTGAATTGAGTACGATCGACTCACCCGGTGAGTAAGCTGAAGTAAGCGTGTGTAGTACTCTCACACTCAAAATATTTTTAAACCTAAATAGATTAAAAGTTACGCTAAATTGCAACTCTCCTGACCGACGCATACACACTAAGGCTGTGTTCCATTTGGCGAATTTTCACTTAAACTTGACAGATGGAAAATTTCCAAATTAGCCTGCTATTCCAGCAGACTTATATCTGACAGACAAGGAATCAATTTTGACACACACCTTCTCGAAAATTGGCCGATCAACAACAGAGGGATTTTCGAACATTATAATTTAGTTTCGAAGTGTCAAATTTAAGTGAAAATTCACCAAATGGACCACAGCCTAAGATTTTGTTTCCGTGTTCGGTAAATTTAACCGAAATTAGAACAGCTGAACGTTCGGTAAAACTTTGACCTTCATTTTAAAGCTATTGAATTTGAAAATAATATCAAAACGTGTTCAACCTTGTTTAATGGATCAAATCTGGTCATTTTAGTGGAGATTTAGTTTCAAAGTAGCTAAAACCCCGTTCACATTACAGCCTATATCACGTAATATAGGCTGTCTTGCAATGAGCACTCATACATAGCATTTCCAGTGAAAACTAGATGTATGAGTGCTCATTGCAAGACAGCGTATATCACGTGATATACGCTGTAATGTGAACGGGGTATAAAAGGAATTGAATTGAATTTCATAAATTTAACCGAAAAGTTCAGCTGTTCTAATTTCGGTAAAAATTACCGAAGTAGGTGAAAATTTCTAAGTGTGCAGCTTGATATAAAGAGAGAGAAAACACACTTATACCATAGAGGTAACTCTAAGACCACTGGGTCCCGAAGAAAATCATTATTATTTTTGGCTCACTCAGTACCAGAACAACGGTCCCAAGCAGTCCCAAGCTATTTCACTCACCCCTGCATGTTCTGCATGAATCCACACACCCCTGATGTTATCTGTCAAACTTTCATAGCGAATCAAAACAAACATAGTGTAGTAAAAGAATTTCAACTAGAATAGGGTACGTTAATCGTTTGCTTGGGACCAATAGGCTACTAAAGTGGTGAGCCAATTTAAAATCGTTAGTTTCGTATTGATTGTTGCTTATACCCCGTACAGACTATGGCTTATATCATGTAATATAGACTGTCTTGCAATGAGCATTCATACATCTAGTTTTCACTGGAAATCCTATGTATGAGTGCTCATTGCAAGACAGCATATCCCAACAAACAATTTTAGCTGCAGACTAGCCTATACAGGCAAAAATAAGCTGTATAAGCCAATTTTTGGCTGTATAAGCTAATCTGCAGCTAAAATTGTTAGTTGGAATATTACATGATATAAGCCATAGTCTGTCCGGGGTATTAGAATTGCATCTCTTTTTGCCAGTGGTGGCGGGGGGGGGGGACACCCCTCACCATCCCTCTCCAAAGGGGGAGTTTGGTAAAGAGAGATGAAAAAACCGATTTGTACCTTCCTTAAAAAGTTGTTCTAGCTCGCTATTCTAATATCTATATGCAATTTTCACACTGCCGTACTCTAACGGAACTATCAACTCTATGCTTTCATCTACTCCATCTATCGTATAAAAATTACCACTACAGTCTGTTATTTGAAATTAGCATCTTCAACTATACAAAAGTTAGTTACGCCTTTTTGTAAATGTTAATTTAGGGTGACAAAACATGTTTTTTTTTGATGAAATTTTATGAAATTTTTCAAGTATTGCATCACTTGTTATCCATTTCTATAAAATAAAACTCAGTTTTTTACATTTCAAGAGCAAATGTTCATTATGTCGTAAGTAACATTCGCACCAATCCGAGAAAAATAAAGTTTTGTTTTGATGACCGAAAAGTTATTCCTATTTTCAAGTAAACACATATAATCTCATAGTGATAGCAATGTTTAACATATTTAGCAGGGTTTTAATCATACAAATGCAAATCGCTAGCTTTCATGCTAAAAAATACTGGTTTTTGAGTAAAAAGTTATTATACGTCGTTTGGTGGCCCCTATTGTTACTTAAGTCAAAGTGTATTTACCAGGATATTCGGGAGAATTATCAATTACGTCTCCTTACGTGCAGCCCATTCATCATTTTAGGACCACCGAAATCATCTTAGCAACAAACAGTTCGATTTATTCACTTTAATAATGAGAAAGCGAAACGACGAACGTACACTTTTCACGGGTTTCTCAGCGCTGTTACTTAAGTCAAACGGCATCTCCATAAAAATTGGGTGACTTAAGTAGCATCGAAAACTATTTTGATCGGAAGGTGATTACGTCAAAAAGCCATTTGACTGGTAAATAAATTTAAAAATGGGATTTGATCCTATATTCGGACAGTATATAGTGTAATAGCAGGAGAATCGATTGACACTGCTAGCTCGACTTTGTTTACCTTTGTTACATTCGACGTAATGAAAATTTGCTCTTGATTTGTCAGTTTCGCCCGTTTGAAATGTTGGTACTGATTTAAAGAATTCTCATTAATGAGGACAGAAACAAAACTCTCCAAATTTGGGTAGAATCGTTCCATCTTGGGCAAAACTGAACCTACCCAAAAATCGGTAAACTGTGTTGAGAATGAAAAGTTGGCAAATGAACAACGTCGATCGGATTCATGTCGATATTGTTCATTTATCAACCTGTCACTCACAGTTTACCAATTCAGTGCCAACATTTCAAAGGGGCGTAATTGCTTTTGTAAACAATGACTTTAGTCGTCAATTTCTCGTGAATGAAATCTTACCTCTCCAAAATAACAATGCTAGCTGGTAGAGGAGACATTCCTCTACCTGCTGGTGTTATTATTTTTTATTAGTGAGCTTTTATTCGCGAGAAATCGACGACTAAAGCCATTGTTTACAAATGCAATTACGCCCCTTTGAAATGTTGGCACTGAATTTTTAAGTAGGTTCAGTTTTGACCGATCTGAGTGAATTTTACCTAAATTTGAGAAGTTTGAAAATAGCGTGCACATGTGCTAAATGTTTGAAACGTCAAATTAATTTTCGAATATCAAAACGTCATCGCACGTATACACAGCCCTGCAATGAGCAGAACATTAAAAAAATAAGCAGACTGCCAAGAAGTAAACTTCTTCTGTGTGCGACCATCTTTTTTGACATCCGCAACTATCGGACGAGAAAAGTTCCGACCGACCGAGAAAAGCAGCCGATTTCCGACAAATTTGTGATTTTCGACTTCAAATTATCTAGAAGGTTAGTTCATTGGAATGAAACCATGTACAACTGGCATGAATTGGAGTGTTCTGTTTCGAATTATTTGTAAATGAAGAGTGTAAAATAATCTTACATAACACTTGTGGTTCCACACCAGTCCAGACAGAATGCGTTGAGCTGTCAAAGGCGAAAAAGAATTGTGTAATAACTTGTGATAAGCGAATAATTTATAGTTTTTGTCCACTTGCTTCCAGGAGAACGCAAAATGTTTAAGTCCGTCGCTCCAATCCTGGCCCAGGTGCCAGCAGAAGTCTGCTTTGGCCAACAAAATCGTGGAATGGCTACGCTGAAATCCATCCAGATCCGTCTGAAGTCGGTCAAGAACATTCAGAAGATCACCCAGTCCATGAAGATGGTGTCCGCTGCCAAGTATGCATATATCTTTTTGAAAATATAATCTCTGGAGGATTGAACTAATGCAGTTTTAAATTATAGGTACGCCCGTGCTGAACGCGATTTGAAGCAGGCCAGGCCATACGGCTTAGGTGCTCAGCAATTCTACGAGAAAGCTGAGGTTGCCTCCAAGGAAGAGGAACCGAAGAAGCTGTACATCGCCATCACCTCCGACAGAGGTAAATGGTTGAACGGACACGGTTGTGTGTCACAGGAAAATGAGTAATTTGATTGTGTTTTCAGGTCTGTGCGGAGCTGTTCACACCGGTATAGCCCGTAGCATCCGTGGTGATTTGACCGAAAACCCCAACATCAAGGTCATCTGCGTTGGTGACAAGTCGCGTGCCATCTTGCAGCGTTTGTATGGCCAGAACATCGAAATGGTATGCAATGAGATCGGCCGTTTGCCACCAACCTTCCTGGATGCTGCCAAGCTAACCAACGCCATCCTGAATATGGGATACGAGTACACCGAGGGTAAGATTATTTACAACAAGTTCAAGTCGGTTGTGTCCTACGCGGTTGCAAACATGCCAATCTTCAGCCTGAAGGCCGTCGAGTCTGCCGAAAAACTGCCGGTCTACGATTCTCTTGATTCCGAAGTTATCCAGAGCTATTTGGAATATTCGCTGGCTTCGATGCTGTTCTACGCAATGAAGGAAGGTGCTTGCTCGGAACAGTCATCACGTATGACTGCTATGGACAACGCTTCCAAGAATGCCGGAGAGATGATTGACAAGTTGACTCTGACTTTCAACCGAACCAGACAGGCTGTCATCACCCGTGAGCTGATTGAAATTATTTCCGGTGCTTCGGCTCTGGAGACCAAGGATTAAGCAGATGCGCTTCTGTGAATGCGATCTTAACAACAGATCCTGGAACATCTACACTCACTATTTCCAACAGCAGAGCAGCCGCGTGAGGGTGGGAAATTGTATTTCGATATCTAGCTGTGAAAACCTACAGTGCGTCAACATCTTAATGATGGGTAAAATAGTACACGGAATAATCGATAAATATGTTATATAAAGAAACATTCTTCTTTAGCCATCAGTGAAGGAAAGAAAAAAGTCCTTTGTTCGGAATCGTAACAACAAAACCTAGTTAGCTTGGGAGTTGATGAAGACGTGTAGGGGAAATACCCCATAAAATCGCCCGCCCTCCGTGTTTCGCTGTACCATATCTAGAGCTAAAATAAGGGTCTAACAGCTTTTGTAATTGTAATTCAAGACACACCAACGCAAACGTGGGTGTGTCTTGAATTCCTAGAAATCATCGAGTCATTGTTTACAAAAGTTGTTAGGCCTTTATTCTAGTTGTATACACTAGGATATACCTACCCACCAAATTTATATGTTTGAAAAATTACATTTTATGCTCCGATCAACTATATTCGGAGCATGACGGGCCATCACACTAGTATGAGCTCCTGCTTCAGGCTAACAACAAAACGAAATTGGTAGCATAGTGGTTACCGTTTGCGCTTTCCAAGTAGAAGGTCGCGAGTTCAATCCCAACAATCTCAACCCTTTTTTTTTTATTTATTTTCTACGCCTAATTTTTAAATCGTAATCATAGATCGTATCACTCAAGACAACCAATTCATAGATCTATTGAAAAGAATAGCATCCTTTCCATCGAAATTAGAGAGATGGAGAGGTAACGTTGGTCTCATGTTAAACTATGAATGAATTAATTATTCTCACATCTCCTTGAATTAGCTAGAGTTACGGCTGGGAGTGCTGATAGGTTTTCGGATTCACGCTTTTATTACTTATTTAGCTGCCCATATGATGTTCACTAGGATAGCTAGGGTAGCAAGGCAAGCGGCTGGTGATCGGAAGGTCATGGTTTTGAATCCCATCCAACGACATGTGTTGTTGTTGGATGGGAAATCACTAACGAGAGAGAAAACAACCCTGCTCTGTCCCGTTCTTATTTTCGGATTAATTATGCCATAGTTGAATAATCGTTTAATAAATGTATAATAGTGTCTAATTAAACATTATTTCACATGAGAATCAAGCGTCTATATACACCTTTATACCATCGCTGTTAAAGGAATGTCTAATAAACGCTGAATAATCAAAAAATCGATCGAATAAGCTCTGCTACAACTCTTCCCTCCCCTTGGCTAGTTTTTGCACCTTGCTGTTGGTGGGCGGGCTTAATTTCATGCTAGTGGAGTGTTGGAGACGGTGGGTTTGTGGCCGACGTTGCTGGCTCATGCCGCGATAGAATGGCGCCATGGGCAGGCAATGAGGATTACTGAGCTTCCCCTCTCTGATAAACCACTGCATGAGAGAACAAAAGATCTAGTCCAGCAGTGATAGTATCACACTTGTTACTCCTTTTATTGAGAGCCGCGTCGTAGTACGCTTACGTATAGGCACTGACGTTGGGTGTGATACTGGCGGGTTTTGCCGCAAATCACTCTTATTTTATTTATTTTTACGCAGATAGATTTATTTGGGTTTGCAAGGGAATTATACTATTGAAATATTTCAGAAAGTGCCCAACGGTGCTCCTTCTACTTGCGTGACAAGCTTTCATTGTTGTTTTCATTGAAGTATTACTCAGGGAACAATTTTAAACATCATTTTTGTACATGGTATTGTAACTAATCTTATATGTGCTTCATTTTGATTTGGGATAAATGTTTGAACTATGGCTCGGGATTTCCACTGTTGCGTGCTTCTATTGTGATATATCCATACGTAATTTTGTGGGACGACATAGTGGAAACGTGTGAGCGTAGTTGGAGCATATACCCTATGTAATTTAAAAATCAGCTAGGAAACTAACTTCAAAATGAAGCATTTTAGTCACTTGAAGGTGTCACCTGGGTCGAACTAAGATATAATAAATAGGTATAGGTCAAAATCAAAAGTACTTGAAACACGTTTAATTTTAGATTACAAGCACAAGTGCAGATACTTAATAAAGCATGGGTTATGATTGATTAGGTGACTTAGAGCTTTTAATAATTTATTAAATTAGACTAATGAGATATCATAACCATCAAATGAATTTAAATAATAAACTTCAGAAAGTCTAATGACATTAAGTAGATTAACAAAAGAATTAGGATGCGGGTGGTCCGCTTAGGGAGGCAACTAACCTTTATAGTTGTAGAATAAATCTTCTTATTTAGTATTGAATTAAAAAAAAAAAAAAGAAAACGCAGGCAGACCAATAGCATTTAGCAGATTAACAAGGAGAGGAATAGTTTAGGAAATAAGAAAAGGAAAGGAATGTGACAATTAATAGCTTTTAAACTTTTGGAGGTATTGTATTCCCCTGAGTTTGTTGTACTCGATTACTATATTATTCTCTCAATACGCGAAATCTCTTATATATGCGATTAAAGCATTTGAGTTAACTTATTTCTTAGTGTTCAAGTACTTACATTTGTAAACAGCAATCAATGTTAATCTATGAACTAAACCATACGTAAAATCGATCTTTCCTTATGTGGTATTGATGCATGTTTAACTTTTCGCGTCAGTCGGAATCAACGCGCCTACGTCTACGGAGCTTACGCAGAAGTGATTTGCAATGCGGTAGAGCTCACCAAAAGTTTTTTTTTTTTTTTTTTTTTTTTTTTTTTTTTTTTTTTTTTTTTTTTTGAGCTTCTGTAGTATAGAATTTGTTCGGTACGGTCGCGAAATCTTGAAATGATTGATACGTGCGGTAAAATAACTAAATTGAAACAAAGCTCAACAGTAAAATAAGTAGAATATTTAGGGAGGAAACCAAAATTTATCAACTTGCCAACATAGGCTATCACATTTATTTTGGTGGCACTCTTTAAGTGATAATAAGTTGTTTTTTTTCTCTACGGTTGTTTCGCGTGGCGTTCACAATTTGCGCGATTTTCGTATCTTACGTAATTTAGATGTTTAACTATAAACGGTTTCACTGACTCGAGGTCGTTCCTTAAGCGGTGTTGGTACAGGTTAAACCTTTGCCGACTGTCGGATTCAACGCGCCTACGGCTACGGAGCTTACGCAGAAGTGATACGCAATTCGGTAGAGCTTGTCAAACGCTTTTGAGCTTATAGAATTTGTTCGGTGCGGTCGCGAAATCTTGAAATGATTGATACGTTCTTTAAATTAACTTATTTGATACAAAGCTCAGTAGTGAACACGGAATCCAGTGTTCAAGCGGCCAACATAGGCTAGTCCTTCTGCTGTATTGTCAAAGATAGAAGCAAAATTTATTCAAATGGGTCAAGTCTTGAAAATTAAGCTGTCACGCAGCTCCAGCTTGATACTAAAAAAAAAAAAAAAAAAAAAAAAAAAAATAAGCTCTGCTACAACTCTTGTAAGTCGAATAAAAGCTTCTCGACATACCTTATTCAACACCAAATATTTCGATGTTGTGGTTGAATAAATTCTACAGATTTGTGTGAACAAAGCCTGAACAAGAAGTTATTATTAAAAATAGTACAAGTATTATTAAGCATGAAGTGGAATAAAATCGTCAAGAAGTCGTTTCTTCAATAGGCAATTGTTTGTTGGGATGTCTGTTTGTCTGTGATCGTAGTATTTTTCCAACAGAAACGTCATTTTAAGACAACGATGTGTGTTTTGAGTTGCACCATAGAGGTAACTCTAAGACTAGAAGCAACAATCAATACGAAACTAACGATTTTAAATTGGCTCACCACTTTAGTAGCCTATTGGTCCCAAGCAAACGATTAACGTACCCTATTCTAGTACTACGCAATGTTTGTTTTGATTCGCTATGAAAGTTTGACAGATAAAATGAGGGGTTATTGGTTTTTCCTATGTTTCGAGGATTCTGTGACACTACCCCGAATGTCACTACCCCGAACGCCGTTACCCCGAAAGCTACTACCCCGAATGTCCTACTACCCCGAATGGCCATTACCCCGAATACCCTACTACCCCGAATGACCATAACCCCGAAATTAAGACAAACGGAAGAACAGCATGCGATTAAAAGGATAAGGATTGTGCTACATTTCCCCGAATACCATACCCACGAAAAAAAAAAAGTTAGGAATTTTTCAACCTTGGCAATTTTCTTACTATATATTGAGCATAGTGAGCAGATTGCAACCCACCTTAAATTTCAAACCATGCAAATGGAAGATTTAATATGAGATTAACCCAACTACCAATTAATTTGCTTCGAGTAGCTAGAAACCCATTCCCAAAGCACAGGATGCTCACTATGCCCCTCTTTTCCCTATATTAATGTATTGAGCCGTTTAAAGCATTTTCATTTTTATATATAGAATAATAATCCAAAACCAGTATGCTTGTTTTCAGTTCATTTATTATTCATCATTATTTGATTTGTTTCTTGGAACACCGTTGAGAAATTCTTCCTTTTTTTAGACATGAGCAGTTCTTTGGAGTTTTGAGGTTTTCATACTTTTAAACACTGGAATGTAATTGTAGAAGGAGAAAAAGTAATTTAATAAACAGTAATTGGAATTTTTTCCTTCTTTTGATCATGAGCTATTCTTTCAAACTTAATTGGACCACAACATGATTAAAAATAATAATAATTAATTTTAGAAAATAAATGGATATTTTTTCTTCTTTTCATGAACTATGGTTCAATTTAATACGAAAGAACAGCTCATGAAGAAATTAAGGGAAAAGAAATCTTTATTGGATATTTCTCCTTCTTTTGAATATGAGCAGTTCTTTCAGAAGGAAAATGGGAATATTCTCATCTTAGAATATTCGATTATGAAGGAATATTATTATATTTTCAATCCATTTGTTAAAGTGTCACTAAAGAGGGAAACTTCAATGCAGAACATGTGAATCTCATACACCCAGATCGCTGCGTGAAGGATTATAATGCCTTTGGAAAA